GACTATGCCGTCTCGCTGGCTGTTTGAACAATAGTTTTCTACTAGAAATTAAAAAAGCATCCTCACATCATGTATATAAAAATACCTTCATGGTTTATGCTTTGTAGTAAGAGCTGAGTCACCTGATTTTGTAATCAAAGACATATTTTCAAATTTCTGTCTCTACCACTTGCGAGTGGAACAGCCTGAACAAAAGACTTAATCGTGGAAGGTGGCACAGTTTCTTCATTTATGAAATAGAAATAATAGTATACACCTGAACTGTTCCATAGGCTTACTGTGACCGTAAAATAGTCATGCACGTTAAGGTTATCAAGACCCAGTAGATGTTAAATGCTATTTCTTTTAGCCAGCACTCATAAAAGTTAAATGACTCAGAAAATCAGCTGACCAGCCCCACTCTCATTGCAATGAATTATAGCAGGTGCATGAGTAGTTGAGAGATATTTTTTAAAAACTGAGCAAAATGCTAATGGGCTTACTGAACACTCCACTTTGTCCAAAACACAGTAAAATTCTGAAGCAATAGAAAATCATTTGAGGCCTGAATCATACACGAAAGTTCTGAAGGCAGCACAGTACATACATCAGAGGCTCCCAAAAAAGCAAGGCATAGTTCTGGGCATTGCCGCCTTATCAAAATCCTACAGGGATGTCCTGAGCTTCCTCACATATCTCAAACCCATATGCAGAGATATGAGGGCTGAGAGAGAACGGTTTCAACATGTCCGAGCTGAGCCTTGGTATAAGCAGCCCTTATCTCCACCAGGGCCCTTGGTTTGAACTTCCTTAGGGGAGAGCTACAGCTGCAAAATTCTGTAGGCTGGTCTCAAGGGTGTGCTTCTTATAAGCATTTTCCAGAGTGTCTAATAAATTATCCAGATGGGGAAATATTATTGGTAAACAAATCAATAAAATGCTCAAAATAATCAGAGAGTAAATGGTTACAGCATGGCAGGCAAAAAGCCAAAAGTAAATATTTAGAGCTTCATTCAAAATCTCCACTCAATGAACATATCCAGTTTCTTTCTATGATATTTTAAATAATTTGAATCTTAGGAGAGTAGGTAAAAGAAATGAAAATCTAACCAAGGGCATAAGACTTTTTGCAGGCAGCTGAGCCTAATGAGAAATGGTCCTTTTATTTATATCATTTAGTATCTATTTAGTCATTGACTTATTCATTCATTAGTTCATTCAACAGTCATTTGTAAACACCTACTAAGTTGAGGCAATTACTATAAACAGCAATTTCTTGAAATTTAATGAAGGAAATAAAGGTGCCTGAGTGGTAGGGTAAAGATTCTTTCAGTCCCGAGAGGCTGGATGTTGGCATGGAGAAGTTGTAGACTTGACAGAATTAATGTAACCAGCCTGGTGTCTCACATTTTCTGTATTGTTGAGAGGGGGCAAAATTTCTATACCCAGAGAATGCGCCTCATGCCTGGTGACAGGAGCACCATGAAGACTGCTGGGAGGTAGGCTGGAGTCACTCACTCAGACACCTGGCAATAGGTGACTTGGGGTTGATGCATCAATAGTTTCTGGCTGGAGGGTAACCATGAGGACTGAGGTAACCAATAGGTACAAAGTGTTTGTTAAGTGTCTGGCACACAGTGGCTGTCCATAAAGCTACCACATGGCCATAGGCAGGGATAATGCTTGGGTAGGACAAATAGTTCCTTCGTGTTACCCCCCAAACAAAACACCATTAAATATTAAAAGTTTCTGGCTAAAGACCGTTTCAAGACTTACAGGATCAAAGAAATAAAAAATATATCTGACACTCAAATTGAATTATAAAATTGAAAATGTTGATTTTTCCAGTCTTAAAAGTGTATAAAACAAGACGGAAATTCCAGGGTTGAATTTAATGTGGAAAAATACAAACATATTTGAGACTTTTCACAGAGCAGTCTGTATGAGGCAACCAAGAAAACCATGGAAAGGAAACAATTTGCCTGTTTGGAAACAGCCAGGAGTCAGCTGTCATGGCCACAATCATGAGAGTTTCTTAAACCTGCTATTCTCCCTGTGGGTAAAGGGTATAGGAATAATTTCCAAAAAATTACACCCCAAAGGGGATTATGGAGAAAAAAGAAGCTCCTAGAGAAAGACAAACATCTGGATGTGAAGAGCAACAAAATTTCAACATGTTTTGAGCTTCTTGGAAACTATGCTAAGTCCAGTCATTGCTAGGATTTGGGTAGCATTTAATCCCTAGCTTTTAGTTCTAGATTTTCATGTTTTCTTTTTCACTCTCAGATAGATGACGCACCAGCCCTAGCCCAGAAGTTACGTGTTCTGCTATGAATACCTAACTGGAGATTTCAAGATTCAGGATGATATGAAACTTTGATGCTTTCTGGCCAGGAGAAAATGAAGTTAGCCCAAGTTCTATCTGCAATTTTCCCCACCATGTTCTCCCTCCCATGCAGAAGTGTGACCCCGAGCCTGGAGGCAATTCCTTTGTTCTTTATTTCTTCATCTGGAAAATCAAGGTGCTGGACTAGATTCATGGTTTTTTGGATCTAGTCCATGACACTGAACTCTCATTGTTCCATAGAAATTGGGGACTTTGTAGAGAAAGGGGGACTGGGGACAAAGTGGAAGTGATGTAGGTGAGAATCCCAGGGCTCATTTCCCACTTCCATCTGAGCACTTCTTTCATCTGGTTTACAAACTGGTTTTCTAAAGGGGATTTAAAAATATATATATGTAGTTTTTAAAAGTTTGAAAACCTCTAAACTGTAGGATATATAGGCTTTAGCCAGATTGAACATTTTATGAGACCCTTCCAGGATGATATCTTATATAATTTCTTGTCCAGTCCAGATGGTCACAACACTGTTCTCTTGAGGTAACTCTTGTTTTCCAGGCCTTCGAGCTGGGGGCAACCTTGTCACTCTGACCAGATTCCCCAATAGCCAGGGTGTGTCAGCCACTCCTTGACTTTGAAACACAATCTGTGTTCAACCTCCAGTATAAAGAGCTCCTTTCGCTATTTTTCCTTGACTGTGCTGAGGTCACTTCAATTGCTAGTGCTCTTTGGTGGCTGCCCCACCCTCGACCTGATGTTCGTGAGAAGGGAAGGAGTTCATTTTTGTGAGAGCTTCTTCCAGTTCCTTGTAATATTTTGAACTCCAATATTATTCCACTTAGATGAGGAAGTTGTGGTTAAATGAAGAAATAAATTCTTTTATATCAGTCCGACACGTATTGAAGCAACATATATGCATATGACCTTGTTCTTAGTGTAGGGAGGAAAACAGAAGTCAGCAAGGTGAGAAAAGTCCTGAGAAAGCAAAACTGACTCATGGGAAAGGTGAGAAACACCGAGAGACACCACGAGGAAGGCTGGCAAGTGTTTCTCAACTTTATGTCTCATTTAAACACTCTCAAGGAAGGAGCATGGGACATGAACGCAGGAAGCTACAGATTTATTTTATTTTTATTTTTTAAAAATATGTCTTTATTGATTTCAGAGAGGGAGGGAGAGAGAGAGAGAGAGAAACATCAGTGATGAATCACTGACTGGCTGCTTCCTGCACGCGCCCGACTGGGGATCAAGCCCAAAATGTAGGCATGTGCCCTGACCTGGAATTGAACCTCCATCTCCTGGACCCTAGGTCGATGCTCAACCACTGAGCCACATAGGCTGGGCAGAAAGCAATAGATTTAGACCGACTTTTCTCTCCAAGAGTAGAATGGATACCACCAAGACAATTGGGTGTGGAACATGGATACATGAGTGTATGTTTTTTATAACATAGCCATGTGTTTATTTTAATTGTGCATACAAAAAGAATAGCTCACCTACCTATGATTTTACAGATATGATAGCCTATAAAGAGGCAAAACTTTTAGAGTAAATTAAAAAAAAAAAATGCGAAAAATTGTACCAGAGGTAGCACTAGTGTTGGCAAAGATTTATGATGGCAGTAAGAGGATTTATGAAGGTCAGGAAACTTAGAGGTAGATCAGCTCCAGGGTCTCTCTTATCCCAGTGCTTTTGGTAAAACTAATCTGTGCGACTTTATACAGATTTCTTTTAAAGCCACCTTAAGTTGTCCCATAGATGTCTGTTTATTAAGTAGCTTCTCCTATAGTAATTGGTGCTGAGATGCTAAATAAGATCATTTGAATGGATGAATGCATAAATATATGGGTGGATGCATACATGAAAGAATAAATAATCGCTGCCTAACCCCAAGGAGCAAAGATGTGCTCACATCCAGGGGAGCAAGGATGATTCATAGTAAGACCCCAGACTCACACTTGATTTTTTGCCAGCCCCTGCCTCACCTGGTACATTCTGACCTGTGAACAAGAGTCTTCTCAGCCAAGGTTCTCAAATCCTGGGCCAAATAAAGATTAAGGGAAACCATGGTGCTACGCAAATAGTATACCAGGCAGTTTAGCAGGGAACTCCTCTGAAGCCAGGAAAACCACTCCAACGTGAATGTCTGTGGAGCTAAATAAACTTTAGTCACTACAGGTGCTGAACAAGCATGGAGCATGTGATATCAGCAGTCCTGCCCTCTGCCCTGGAAGCAAGGTGTGTGTACGACCCGGATCACTGTACAACTGGCAGAATCAAGTAGCAAAGCCTGTTTTTAGAGGTCATGGTGTATACTCTGTGATCCGTGTCCTATATAACAAGGCCTTTCTCAAACAGAATAAAAACGAATGAAAGAAAACAACTGTTTACATGGGATATAGTGTGTCTCCTTCACACGTGTCCTGTTTTATGTTAATCATAAGATTGCAACACCAAGAGAACTCAAAGAATCTACTCGGAGTCATCATTTCTGATGACTGCTCAGGCTACTCACTGCTAATCAAGAGGATGTTATGAAACGTGAGTCATACCACGTCTGGCCTTCTGAAAGAGCAAGGACTCCCTATATAAAGAGGGAGCTTCCTCACTGAGATGTTGAGCAGCAGGCAGGTGGGCAGCCACCAGGTTTCTTTAGCTGAGAAGGAAGACAGAGGCCAACATGCACAGCCTTCCCCTGCTGCTGCTGCTCTGGGCCGTGGGGTCTCACGGCCTCCCAGCAGGGACTTTAAAAACACAAGATGATGAGCTGCTGGTCCAGGTAAATGCTGAATTTCAATGCCAAAAATAGAAAAACCTTTATTTGCATTTTTTCAACAGCTTAACAGAGTAGCAGTAGTTAGTATAAAGAAGTTGATTTAAGGGTGGATTTTCTACAAAGAGATATTTTTGTTAGAAGGGTCGCTCTCCCCCAAAATATATCTAGCCATGCATAGATATAGATGCCCCTTTTGTAGCTGGAGGCAGAAGGAAACCAAAGGAACGACATGCAGTTTGGCTCCGCAGGCCGTAATTCTGACTTCATAGTAACTAACGGTAGGGAGATGTCGCTCTGAAATTACAGTGTCTGCCAATGATAAAGATACTAAGGACCATGAAATCTAAACACAGTCTTTCAAAGTTGTTCTCTGTTTCACTAAAACCTCATACTGTCTGTCTTTAGAAGGATTAGAAAAATGCCCCACCCAGTGTTACAATAATATGATCTTTCACCAGCAATACCTGGAGAGCTACTACAACCTGAGGAGCGATGGGAAACAGATTGAAAGGCAGAGAAAGAGCAGCCTCGTGGTTGAAAAACTGAAGCAAATGCAGGAATTCTTTGGGCTGAAAGTGACCGGGAAGCCAGATGCTGACACCCTGGAGGTGATGAAGCAGGCCAGATGCGGGGTGCCCGACGTGGCTCTGTTTGTCGTCACCGAGGGGAACCCTCGGTGGGAGAACACACACCTGACCTACAGGTAACCAGGCCGAGCACCAGCCTGAGAACGCTACTTCCCATCAGAGCCATAAGAAGTGAGGTCCTTTATGTCTCTATTTCACTTTGTTTTTAGGATTGAAAATTACACACCAGATTTGCCAAGAGCAGACGTGGACCATGCCATTCAGAAAGCCTTTCAGCTCTGGAGTGCTGTCTCACCCCTGACCTTCACCAAGGTCTCTGAGGGCCTGGCAGACATAATGATAGGCTTCTACAGGGGAGGTAAGGTCTTCTTGTAGCACAAAGAGCTACACCTGGCCCCTACATCTATCCAGCTTCGCAGCTGGAATTCCTTGTTTAAGAGGAATGTTGATTTTATGGGCTTAAGGAAGGAAACTCTATCACATTGGATGGAAGTCTGTTGGCCTCTTAGCAAAGCAAAGGCTTGCTCTCCGATATCACCTCACACAAGAACCAAGCAGGACATTTGTTGAATTCTATTTCTTGTAGATCATCGTGACAACTCTCCCTTTGATGGACCTGGAAGAAACCTTGCTCATGCTTTCCAGCCAGGCCAAGGTATCGGAGGAGATGTTCATTTTGATGAAGATGAAACATGGACCAGAGATTTCAGAAGTAAGTAATCTTACCTTTCTCAATCCCCTGACCCCTTTGTGACTCATGTAATGATTGGTTGACTTAATGGAAAGACTGCATTAATGGAAGTATATATTTTCTACTTCCATTTAGAAAATTCATGATACACTTAGAAAAGTAAAAAAAGATAGTGTGTGTCCCCAAAATGTATACACACTTTGAACAATTACAGAGGCAGTGTTTGTTATAATACATTTCATTTTCAAAATGTAGTAATCAGCTGTTAAAGTGTGTATACATTTTGGGGGGACATCCAATATTTCTGTGAATAACAACACCTTTTGGCTACAAGTAGGCCACACTAAAATCCCTATAAGGAAACCATTCCTAATGGTTTCCTGTGGGCATTTCTTTTTTCTTTCACTAGAGGACACACCAAAAGTCAATAGTGATCGTAAGATTGTGTGGCAATTAAGGGAGGAGAGGCTGCACGTGTTTTACAAAATTGCCAGCCTTGAGCATGTATGTTTTATGAATAGGAAAAACGATTTGTGTTAGTAGACATCTTTTGCTTCTCTGTGAAATAATGCATGTCATTTAATCACTGACAAGACTGACAAATCTGTGCTAGACCCGCAGTTGATGGAGTTTGCCTTTTTCTTGCATCAGTGTAACCATAGAGTTTAGGCTTTAACCCAGCTCTTTACTATTAATAAATGCATTTTCTCATCTTAGGAAAAATGTTTTATATGTATTTTAAAAAGCTATGAAGAAAATATGAGCATCAAGTCTTGTAGAGTTGTAGATTACATCTTCGTTAACTATCTTAAAGCTGAAAACATTTCAAGTAATTGCTAATGGATTTATTGGTCCTTTTAGATTATAACTTGTATCGTGTTGCTGCTCATGAATTGGGCCATTCCCTTGGACTTTCTCATTCTGCTGATATTGGGGCTTTGATGTACCCCAACTACATCTTCAGCGGTGATGTTCAGCTCTCTCAGGATGACATCAATGGTATCCAGGCCATTTATGGTGAGTACAAAAAACCCCACCACAGACAAGGGGCCATTAGAGCAGCCATCCGCTGTATCTTTTAAGAAGCTGTCTTTCATTGTTTACATCATTTCCCCAAGCCAGGCAGCACTAACTCCAGATCTCTTTTTTTCTTTAGGACCCTCCAAAAACCCGATCCAGCCAATGGGCCCACAAACCCCACAAGTGTGTGATAGCAAGCTAACCTTTGATGCTATAACTACGATTCGGGGAGAAGTGATGTTCTTCAAAGACAGGTAAGACATCAATTCTTCTCGTTTGGTGTTTGTAATAACAACAACTCATTACTATGGATCCATATGGGCCACAACTATGCCTCACATGTTGCTTATCTTACATTTGTTGACATACATAATTATGTGATAGCACTTCCTTACATTGGCAAAACCTAATGAACTTATAACAACTTCATTTTCCCAAATGTATTCCAGAGGCAACCCATCAATGTTTCTCTCTCACATGACGTTCCTCTCTCTCTTCCTTCCTCTCTCTAAAATCAATAAACATATCCTTCAGTGAGGATTAAAAAAAAAACACAAAAAAACCCTCACCCCTTCATAATTATTTTACTCCATTTTACTGTTTACTTATGTTCTTGTGGTTGTCTATGCCTAATGTATTTGTGTGGTAGAAATACTACACAATGGTGTGCTACTGCAAATCTCTTGAAGTCTGCCATGGTGGAGTATTTCCAACCTGGAAATAACCAAATGCTACAAACCGGGACTCCCCTACACCCTCACCTTGGAGAGCCAGGTGTTAAACATTTACCAGCACACCACTGGTGCCAGCAGTAAGAAGGAGCTGGATGTCAGCCAGAACTTGCTATAGATTAGGTCAAAACTTTGTTTTCTCTTTTTCAAACCAGGTTCTACATGCGCATAAATTCTTACTACCCGGAACCTGAGCTCAATTTCATCACTACTTTCTGGCCAAATCTGCCAAATGGACTTCAAGCCGCTTATGAGTTTGCTGATAGAGATGAAGTCCGTTTTTTCAAAGGTAATGCTTCCAATTATTTTATGAATTAATTATTTTTTCATTGGCTGAGATATAAGAGAGCTCCTTTATCTCCATGGAATTTTAAAAATCTAAGTCTCACCAAATCAATGGGAGTCCATCACTTTAATTAAGAATTGCATAGTGCATTTCCGAGTAATTTTAAATAAGAGGCATGTGACTGGAGATATAAATTTTCTGGCCTGTTTATGAATCTAGACTTATGAAATTGTTTTCTGGGAATACTATTTATGTATTTTAAGCCCTCTCTACATTCCTGGGGATGCTGAGAAATGAAATTGAGAGACTTGGACCAATACTGTAGAGGGGATGCAACAGAAGCATTTGAGTTGTGTGATGTTCTGAAGCTATTTTAATATAAATAACTCTCCTCAGAGAGGAAAGCCCCCTGTTGGGCAGCCAGATAGGGATGCTGCAGCCTTGCTATCAAAGGGTGATCCTTAGAGTGACCTACAACACTAACATCACCTAGAGAGTTTGTTAGACATACAGAATCTCACTCAGCCTAATGCTCTCAAGGTCCATTCATGTTGTTGGATCTCACTCCAGACCTCCTTGAATTTTAACAAGCTTCCCAGGTAATATGTATGTGCATTAAAGTACGAGAAGCCCTGAATTACCATGAATTGACTATCCCTGAGGTGGCATCATGAATTCTTTAGTTATTTGAATATCTGACTTTGCATAGAAGTCCCCAACCCCATAAACCAGTCATTTTCAAAGATGCTGCATATTAGAATGATCTAGAAAACTTTAAAAAATATACTGATTTAATTTGTTTGTGGTGGGATACTAACATTGGTATTTTTAACCACCTCCCTAGTTAATTCTAATGTGTAGCCAGGACAATGCTCTAGCCTATGAGACCAACTTAGCTGGAAATCTGCTCACTGTCTACTGGTGCTTGGGTAAGGTTTTCATCACTGTTTTTTGATTGGCAGGTAATAAGTACTGGGCTGCTCAAGGGGAACAAATGCTGCCCGGATACCCCAAGGACATCTACAGCTCCTTTGGCTTCCCTAGAAGCGTGAAGAATATTGATGCTGCTGCTTTTGAGGAAGATACTGGGAAAACATACTTTTTTGTTGCTAACAAGATCTGGAGGTAAAGACTGAGTGTGGAAAAAGTTGAGGCACCAGATTTCTCTACATAGAAAGAATGTTCTAAATGGAACCATTTACAAAAGATTCTCATAATGCATTGGCTAGCTGCCTTTTCAATGAATGGCTGTAGCCAGTCCAGCATCCAAGTGTTTTGATCAATAATCATCATGCAGTACCTTTCCCAGCAATCCAGGGAGCACTTGGGTCTGAATTTGAAAAAGAAGACCATAAAAATGGGGGGCATTCATCTTTATAGAGCTACTTCAGCCAACAGGAACTTATCTGTAGTCACATTATACCTTAATGGAACATTGTGTGGCACCAATTGGAAAATTAGATTTAGATGCTAGAGTTCAGAGGGGCCTTATAAATGTTCTAGTCTACCCGACATCCTACCTCACTCATCCCACACCACCCCCTTCGTACACATGATATACAGGACTAAAAGTTATTGTATTCCTGTTGGTGAATGCCCTGTAGTGGTTTTGAGAAGGCTACATGTTTAACAAATGGTTATGACACTAATTATTTCTGGCCTAGGTATGATGAATACAAACAATCAATGGATGCAGGTTATCCCAAATCAATAGCAGCTATCTTCCCTGGAATTGGCAGCAAGGTTGATGCTGTTTTCCAGAAAGACGGTAAGTAAATATATATGTATTTCCTCTACTTTGTTGCCATAGAATAGCATAGTGTTATTACTTAGAACAGCAAATGAAAAAAAAAAAGTGTGTTCTCACAAATGACTTGGGTTTTTCAAGAATTCAAGTTAAACCTAGAAATTACTTGTATAATGTAATAAGTCTCTTTTGTTTTGTTCTAGGATTTTTCTATTTCTTCCATGGAACAAGGCAGTACAAATTTGATCCTAAAACGAAGAGAATTTTGACTCTGCTGAAAGCTAATAGCTGGTTCAACTGTAGACAAAATTGACCAACTATTTCAATGTTGAACAAAAAAATATATTTTGAGAGCCCACAGAAGGAATTTTCCTAAAGAGCCATATATATATATATATTTTAAAAATACAGGGCTATTAAGTATAATTTTATTTTTACCTCATTTTGCATGATTTAGAATGCAATGTTTTATGTACTGTTATAATTTAGTTCCACAAATGAGTGCTAAGAAAGGTCAAGTTCATAACTTATCGATACACATGGGCCAGTTTTGCAAAGACAAAAGCTCCTTTTCAAAGTATAAGACTCTGACATTAAACCCGGGGAGCAGCCCCAGTGTTGAACATCTCTCAAGAGAGAAAGAGACAGAGATACAAGTCTTCACAGAGAAAAAGCAGTTCAAGGACATACACGCAGCCACTAGCTAATATCACCCTGAAATGCAAGGGACAACTTTTGTTACAGAAAATAAAATGCTTTATGTTTGGAATAAAGCCATCCTTGTCTGTGCTGTTTTATAAACTTTCTATTACATTTAAGTTATAATACTTTTATTACCTGATTATAAAGCCACACTTACAGAGCTTAATTTTCAAATTTGAAATGGGAAGTAGACGACTGTGCAAAATATTCATGTGGAAAATTAAGAAATACAAAAGTTCAAATATTATTCATTCTCATGGAATTTACATCATTTAGAAGGGGGAGGGAAAGTCTATGTTTCATTTCCCATATAAGGATTCCAAAATTAATTTTAGGTAAAAGCAGTAACAGCATGGTAGAATTTTCAAAGGGTACTTTCTTCTGTCTTCTTCTGGGCACACAGGAGAGTTATGTTCTCCCACAGTCCAACTTCCTCAGTTGTGGGGGTAGGGATGGGGTGGGCAGTGACATCTGACTAGTCCTGGCCAGTAGATTGTGCCCAGAAGAGACCAATATCACTATCACTTCCAGATGGAAACATTTGATTGCTGGTGTACATTTCTCCAGTGGTCTCCCCACCCTGCTGTGCTGATTTTAGAAGCCTGTTTTGAGAGAATTTCCACAAGACGGAAGAAGCCTGAATTCCTGGGCCACGACTCCAAACAGTTACCCCAGACTTCAATAGACTTTGCTTAAGAATTAGTCTTTTATTGTGCTAAGCTCCTAGGTGTCAAAGTAAGAAATATCCAAACTTGTAAGAATTTTTATGAGTTTATTTGATCCAAACTGACAACAAGTGTGGGAAGCAAAATCTGAACAAACTGAGATAATGCTACAGAGAATGGAGCAATAAGTTTTTCACCTTATTTTATACATTAGAATCAAAGGAGAAGACATAAGAGAGTTACATGAAATCCATTGGTGATAGATTAGGGAGGCAAGAGAAAGCAAAGCAGGGAAATCTCTAAGATTGGATAAAATGTAAAATGAATAGACACGTACTTCTCTTAGATGGGTATGGGATAGTTAACAATTAATATGATGATAATAAAAATGAGGGGATTTGTGGTCTCTGCTCTGGCGCGGTGGTTGTGCTTTGAGGGGTCTCAGGAAATTACTTTAATATTCCAACAGTACTGTTATCAGTTATGTTACCATAGATGCATAAAAGACAACAGACAGGCTCAATTTAGGTAAAGATTTACTCCCACCCTAGGATCTGACTACCCACCATGAACTTCTTTTAGCTAGAAAGTTTTAATTTCAGACCATCCTATGTGGTTACTTTAGGCCTCTGAGTTTGTAAGGTTGCTATGCAGGCCTTCCTTGAGCTTGTCAGGTTTAATATGTGGCTCCTTTTGGGTCTACATAAAATTTTAGATTTGGATAAAGCTGCATAATCTAGTTTTCTAAACAAGCACTTTCTAGTCTTTCATGCCTAACTTGAGAGGATGTTAATATATGTAGGAGTCTTGCAGGTAGCTGCCAGCCCCATGAATTTCAAGTTGCTCAGGTGCTCACAGACTCTCCAAGTACATACTGAGTCTTGAGAATATTCTGAGGTGCTCATGATTCTGAGGAAGGCAATTTCAACTCAAGAATTTGGAGAGCCAAGTAATCCCTCCTTTTGCCAAGTCTCTCTCTCTCTAGGCAACATTTTTATATTGATGCATAACATGAATGCAGAAAAATGCATATGTCATAAATGTTTATATCAATGAGTTATCACAAAGTCAGCAACCCATGTTACTCTTCACCAGCTAAATAAATAAAACACTACTAGCACCACAGCAGGCCCCCCTCGAGTTCCTCTCATTGATGCTCAGCTCTGTTAGCTTAGTTCACCAGAATCAGAGCCTGAAATGGGAATTCTTCATTGTGGTCATGGGGGAGAAGTGCTCACAGGAGAAGAGGAGTGGAGGGATCATTTTAGAGGAGGGAAATGCTAAAGAATGGTAAAGTATGTGGCCTCAGAGGTTGCTCTGATCTCATGAACAAGGAGCTCTGGAGCAAAAATTGAATCACAGTCCCACCTAGAGGCAAAGGAATGAGCCTTTTGTATTCCTGTGTCAATTAGTCATCAGTTGAGGTCTGGTTTTGAGGGGAGGGGCATAGCTCCCAGGCAAGATAGTTCCTGTCTGACAAAGGCACCAGGAACACCAGCCTTCACAGTAGCCAGGAGGATGGATGCAAGGGTGCTAAAGAAGATCTGGAGAATAGCCCCAGGAGCATCCACTGCACAGGCTCTATTTCCCAATAGTAACCACTATTTGACATGTAATGTCTTAGATTAAATTTGTCTATTCTTGAGCTAAATTGAATCAAGTCTATATTCTCTTTGATGTGCCCTTATTGTGCCCAACATTATGCTTGTTCACTTTACCCACTGGTGATGGGCTTTGGGTTGCTCTTATTTGAGGGTTTTTATAAATAATGCTGCACATCTGTAGGCATTTCTGCTGATTATATTCCTAAGAGTTCCGTTGTTGAGTCACAGAGATTATCAGTCACCTCTTCAGATTCTTCCTTGGCCTCTTCTGTCTTATATCCCAACCACAGCAGTGGTGACTGGTCCTTCGAAGGTTCTAAATCAGCCTCTAGACTACAGCTGTTCTTGTCAGGCCCCTTGCAGTGGGCTTCTGGCTCCCTGCTGTACGACTTTTCTGCCTTTTCTGTTGATGTTGCATCAAGCTCTGCTGTGGGACTCTCATAGTCAAATATATTCAACCTACAAGTGAGAAAAGTAATCCTTTGTGGAGCAAATGTTTACCAACGTGAGAGGAATGAGTGGATAAATGCACTCCCTTTTCTTTCTTCAGAAGTATGCCTCTAAAACATATTCCAAGTGGGTCTTCAGTCCCACACTGAGCATCATATTTCTCATACTGAAACCAGACACAATGGGTCTGGGCTGCCTGTTCCTACTTCAGCCAATTAAGCAGAGACAAGGTTGAATCAAATATAAGCGTTTATTCCATTATTGCTGGCAAATGGGAGAGCAGTGGGATTTTTCCACATAAAATCTGCTCTGCCCTTCCCTTATTACCTGGCTGTTTATATAGGGTTGCAAGCAAGGGGGAAGGTAGGGAGAGGAGGGCATGGAAGGATGGCTGCAAGGTCTGTGCTCCGTGTGTCTCCTTCCAGGATCTTGAAGTCTGATAACAAGGTAGTTAATTTTCAATGGCATTAAAACCCAATTCTGCCAGTTCCTGGAACCTGAGAATAGTCAGCCTTCCTGAGGTAAACTCCCAGAGGGGAAGTCAGGCTCCAAGCATAGCAACCAAATCAAAGAGCATCCTGTCCTTTGTCTGTTCTCAAAGAACACTTTATTTTCTGAGCAATGGACCCATCCAGGCCCCAAGGTGTCTCATCTTTTTACAGCTCTGTTTTCCTTCTTGCAGCACATCCTCCAGTTTTCCAGGGTCTGTAGGAAAACTTCTTATCTGTAGTTAGTAAGGTAAATAATCATTAAACAACTATGGTCCTATTCCTATTAACTGCCCCCCCTTTCACAATCACAGTCAACAGAGCATGATCAGCATCTCTGCCCCAACAATATCTCTGTCCAGTTGATAGTTCATCTTTGTTTGTCTCTCCCAGTTTCCCTGCTTTGCTCTCCCTGACTCTCATCCTCTGGATGATATGTCTCAGTAGGTGCTTACACTTAAAATTTGTCCGAGACTTTGCTTTCTAGGAATATCAGATTAAGATAATTTATGTTGCATGTGGGGTAGTGATAATCTTTGTTCTGTAGTGACATCACAGTTACTAAGACTCTCACTTGTGGTTGATTGTGAAGAGATAAAAGTGAGTGGTGAGGTGTTGAGTAGTCAGGCGGTGGTGACACTTTAACAGTATGAGAGGAATGGTAATTATAACTGTAAAGTTGGCTGGTTAACTGCTCTGGGAATTTGATAGAAGAAAGTAATGGGTTTAGGACAACCAAATATTAACTCAAGACACACCGTGAAAGCCAACAGACATTAACGGCGACATTTAAGGACATCCTGTATCTATTATAGATAGTGCTGAAAATCAGACCCAAATCTAATTGCAAAGTTAGACACTTTCAAGCTGGAATAATGGGGTGCACAAACCTAAAAATCTTGAATACCTAAATTCCCTGAAAGTTCCAGATGGGCAAAAGTAGTATATCGCTCTTGCCAGAGGAATGCAACCTCCATTGCACAGAGAATCAACAAAAACCTCTAAGTCAATACTTATCAAGATATTAACTCCTCCCAGTTGTTTCCCCTCACCCGTCATTATTTTTTGGCAAATAGCTAAGGCCAGGTCTCAGCCCAGTTCAAATTCTAGCTACAACAGCAAATCACTTACAAACCAAAGGAATTCAAAGACCTGTCCCTTTAACAGAGAGCATGTGTAGGACTGTATCTTAAAGGCATTGAACTGGGGTGGAGGAATACAAGGCTGGACAGGGAAGAATTTATTAACATGTTGCACTCATTCATGACTAGAGAAGTGATACTCTGGCAAGGAAACCAGGAGTTCATTGGATACCCTACTGATATTCTCAAATTTTGGGTACAATGATGTCTTGTAGTATATGAGATAGAGATGCCACAACTTCTGTGGCATGGTATTATAGAA